GCAAGGTCAGAGTATGGCAAATAGCAATTGAGGTGGGTTTGAATCGAGGCTAAGAACAACGTCAAGTTGTGGACAATTTCGTGACCCTTTTTACATTCTAAATAACCCGGGAAATGGGGATCGAAATAACAGTAACAACATATCTGAATGGAATTTACTGCTTGCATATTCGTGCATGTTAATGCGCGAAGACCAGGCAGAGGCCCATTCCGTTCTGGTGCAATTGTTGACAGCATTCCATGCAAGTCGCTCGCGCTACAGCCACTCGTCCGCAGATCTTTATTGAAGTAGCATGTAAATTGCATGTGCCTGAGTCGTTGAACACTGGCCAAACCTTCCAATGACTCACTACTGCTGATGTGGGCAGTGCATTTGGAAGCCTCGTTAAGGTATTTCGGCCAATGTCAAAGGAAATATGCATACACAAGGCGCGTACAATATGAGTGATATCAAATAAGAGTGTAAATCAGTGGTCGATGGAATTGGGTAACCTCATGAATTCAGGTTGTCAGTTTTGCTTAAATGAATAACTCAGTAGTCTGATCTGGTTTGATTCTATAAAAGCTGGCAGATGATGGTAGATTCACACGGTACCTACAGCATCCTATGCTGCATAAACAGCTGTTTGCAACTAGCCTAATGCACACAGTGTGCAATGGGCCTGCTAACAATGTTGCTATCTCAGTGCTTTGCGTTATAAATGGAGATAGTAGTAGAGGTGAGAAATGGGCGTGTGCCACAGGTCGACTCTGTCGTGGGTTTGTTGCCTCAATCAGTGATTTAATGAGTGTGTTTCATCGTTAGAGTGTTCACACCCTGTTCTTGACACCTCAACTCGAGGCGGTTGCAGTGGAGTGCTCCACAGTTAATTTATATTTAACAGGCCCTCAAATGCCCGCACATCACCCACCACATGTATTAAGTGCAATCCTTTGCCCAGTTCATGCACCAAGATGCATCAAACAGATAAATTCGCGGTTGCGTTCTTGTATACATGGGCAACATGCAGATCACATATCACAACACACACACACACACACGAACCAGCAATGTGAGCGTGTGCGTACTTCTCTGCACTGTCACTTCTTGCATCCAATCTCCATCAAGCGGATGGCTTTGTTGAGGATACCTCAAAGCGACTGGAGAGTGACCAACTTGATTTAGCGGACATGGAATCAGCTGTTGGTGTGGAGGAAAGGGGAAGGCAGTAAATGCAGAGGAGAATGTGGAGGACGTGGAGGAGGAGGAGGAGAAGGAGGAGGAGGAGGACAGGAGATTCTCGCGTCAGCGGTGTTTAGTTTGACAATGTGAAGGCGCCATATCAAGTGGGGTGTTAGAGGCCCAGCATATATAATTGCCTAACTGGTTGTGGTTGAGGACTCCGTCGCTGTCTCGTGCAAGCTCGTTTCACATCTATTAAAACACGGTTTGAGAAAAGATTTTCTCTTTTCTTATCCACAGAGGTACGTGTAGAAGCGTTTGGAGTGTGATAGAATAAGTACAAGCGGAAGTGCGAATGCATAAATGGTTTAATATCCATGCAAATAAATCGCAAAATATTTACTGTGCACTTATTTTCGCGTATTCTGCAGGAATTTGAACGAAGATATTTGGATTAAAAGAGAGATGACTCGAGCGATTTCAGGAGTAAAGAGCAGTTGTAAAATACTTTCTCTAGCATTGCCGTAGGGTTGACTTTGCAAAGGCTCGAAAGTGAACTCACTTGATGAGTGGTCAATCGTTAGGCCATGTGATTGGTTAGCTGAGACATCAGAGATGGACTTGGAGGAGTTGAAGCTTGCTCTATCACACTGCCTAATCATTGTCGCTGTCGAATGCCGGTTATCGGCGCAAACAAGCCTGGTCCAACACACGATCTAATGTTGGTTGTTGACGTGGGTGACGTAAGCAGGACTAGCTATTTTCATGTAAGAAAATGCAATTAGGCGTGATGCTGCTGTTTAGAGGGAGGTTATTTCGTTGAGGTGTAAGTAGTTTGATTCATTCGAGTGGTGACATTGTAGATGTTTAGCAAACAGGTGTTTATTGAAGTTTTTTCGGGTTTTTTCTCTTGACGACGTCTGTCCTAATAGTCTTCGAAGCCTGAATTACTCATGCGTGTGACTTTCATTTGATCGAGGCGACACACACGTCTCTATGATGGTCTGGCGTATTGATTGTAGGATGCGTGTGTCCACTCATCCACTGTCGAAACATGTGTAATTCTAGGAGAATTACAAAATTGCAACTTTGCTGCAGAATTGCAGTGCAACTGACAAGTCTGATCAGAGGGCGAAGTTGGTTGTTCTCAAATGTGTGTTTTGATGACGAGTGGCTGACGACGTTGTTGTAAGCCTTATGGAATTCGCATTGTTAAAGCACAACCGAATCCCAATTCACTCGCGTTGATTGGTGCATTGTGCTCATGGATGTTGCTGCATTAACCTTGCATTGCGAAGGCTGCTTGAGCGCATCACAAATGTGCGGATGTTTCGCTGAGACACCTGGTGATTTTGATCAAGTTGGCTACAACCCTGGGCGATGCGCACACCTCTTTTTCGCCTTCATGGACACAAACCCACTGCGCCACATTTCTCACATCAGGTAGAATACACTGATCTGCCGAGATTTAACCTCCCAGTGATTCAGTTCAAAATTTGAAACACAAGCCTGTGAGATCGAGTCCCGTCATGACCCATAGAAATGCGTTGGCCTAACCAGGTTATTTGCCTGCACTGATTAAAGGCTCTTGATGTTGCCGTAGCACTAGAGTTTTTTTCGATGATTGCTGACAAAATGAATTGCATCCTCCTGCAATTGGATGCAGTGTAGAAGGCATCTGAGTGAAATTAAAATAAGACACCTGCAACGATTGTTCCATTTCCTACTGGACTTCGGAGAATGAACCAGCACACAGCCACACTTGAAATGCCGTTGTTCACTAGACTTTGTCTCTTCGTTCTCCATCTCCTCTTTCACCTGACTTCCGCAAGTACAGCCGTTGGATCTGGTAAAGTCATGTCATTTAGCCTGAATGCAGAATAACGTGAGGGGCCCGATGTTAAAGGCGATGTCTCACGAGAAAATTTCAAAAGAAGCCATGACAGGTAAAAGTCAAGGAGGCGTGTTGCGACTGCATACCGTAACATCTGACGAACAAGTAGAGGCTAAATCAGCAGAATTGTTCCTAGAAATCCCAGGTTCTGCTATCCTGCTC